GGGAGTATAAGGACCCCCGAGAGACACAAAGAAAAGAAACGGTGGCGGCGCGGGGGGGGGCTAATCCGGGATGCCTTGTTCTCTTGACAAGTTGGGGAAGTGGGAAGGATGATGGAAGCCCTGTGCCCCCCTCCCTGCTCCTTTCTTAGAGGATGTGGGAGGGGGAGGTTGAAAGCAGAGGCTGGCTTTTGGAGGGAGGGGGTAGATCTTTCTCAATTGGTTGCGTTTCGAGGTCCGCTTTCTTCCAGCGGGCTCAAAAGCACGCCCGTGTCTCTTTTTCCTCCTGCTTCCCCTCAACAGCCTTGCGAGGTGGGCCAGGCTGTGTGGGAACAATTGGCGGGAGACCGAGAGATGCAGGTGTCAGGACCGGTGGTGCTGTTTGCGGGGAGGCAGAGAGGAAAAGGAAAGGGGTCCCCCTAAACGGGGGGAGGCAGTGGCTGAAGGGAAGAGGGTGTGTGGAGAAGAATCTGCCTGTGACACCTTGGAGAGCCACGCTCTTCCAGCACACCGCCTCTGAGCATGTGCCAAATTCTACCCGTCTCTGAAGGATCGTCTCAGAGGGTCAGGTTGGGAGAGCATGTGCCTGAACCCCCCCTGGAGATCTCCTCTTGCTGCTGCTACCGCCAGCCTGAGCCGGCAATCCTGGGCAGGAATATGGGTGCTGTAGTCAAAGGCCACTTCAGAGATTCCTGTAAGGCCTGGGGGGGTTCTCCCTGAGGGGGGAAAGAAAACCGACCTCTGGGAGGCGGTCAGCTTCTGTTCCGTTTCCCGGGTCAAGGGACTCTCTGGCCTTGGGAGCCAAGGGAGGATTGCTGTGAAAGTATAGGCAACAACCCACCGTGTGCCCTCCACACACACACCCCCCCGGGAATAGGGGTTTAATTACATTATCCAAGCTGATGTTTGGCGATGGGAGCAATGGGGTGAGTGGAAAGATGCAACAGCAGCAACACAACCGTTGGAAATCTTAAAGACTTCCCAAGACTCTCTTGAATATCCTAAAGGCTCTCTCTCTCTCTCTCTCTCTCTCTGTGTGTGTGTGTGTGTGTGTGTGTGAGAGAGAGAGAGAGAGAGAGAGATGTGTTGTGGAGTGAGCAGGGGTCCTTTCTGACTTGGTTTCCTGGAGCACAAACCACCCATCCACTCTGGAGGACAAACCCATGCACTTATTCGACTTTTCTGGTCGTCATGCACACTCTCTTTAGCATTGTAGAGCTTGGGGAGATTCCCTTTTTGCAGCACCCCTCCCCGAATCCCTCAGCTGGCCAGTCGCCGGCTGGGCTGTTTGGGGGTGTTTTTGGGCATCGTCATCCAAGCAGATCTTTATCAGGCTCTGCCGAGAGGCTTCAATTTCCTAAAGGGTGGCAGGTGTGCAGCAAAGCCAGGAAACACTATGGTGGTTGGTGCCCTTAATATTACCTGTACTAACAAGTGTTTGTGAACTATCTCCCGTTTCAGGCATGAATGTGTGTGTGCATGTGTGTGCGTGTATGCCCGTGCGGAGCACACAAGTTTGTTTTTGGGACCGTGAGACACATTCTGCATGTGGGAACAATCTCTTCCAGCCATTACGAACACATGCTACAAAGTTTTACAAAGCACAGAAAGGCTTCGTGTTCAGACTTAAAACCCAAATTCCAAACTCCTCATTTTAGAGGGGGAGGGGAAAAATCACTCTTTCCCTTTCAGGCTCCATTTTCAGCTGAAACAACAATGGTTGGAATGGTAATGCATGGATCCCACTGGAGATTTTTTTTTTTCCAAAATGCATGTAAAAAAAATCTCCGGTGGGATAGCCCGGCACGTCTGTTACAAAAGAGCCAGCGATATTTTAGAGTGCCCGTTCAAGAGCAGCAAGCCTCGTTTTTGGCACAAAAGCCTGCCACAGACAAACTTCGGTCCTTATTCTGTACTTTTTTTATTACTTCCAGGTTTGCTCCACCCTTTAATCTGATCCAGCAAATTTTATTTATTTTGTTTAAAATATTTTTTACACTGCCTTTCTCCTTTAAAAAAACAAACAAAAAAAAGACCCAGGGCAGCTTATATCATGAATATTAAAACCAGTAAATTATTCAACTGTAAAGAAGGATTAATAACAAGATGCTCTTTTCAATGGAGCATCAGGCAAAAGCAAACTGCTATACAGTGGTGCCTCGCTTAACGAGCGCACCGTATAACGATGAAATCGCATAGCGATCCGTTTTTTCAGATCGCTAATGCGATCACTCAACGAGCTTCAGATAGCGAGAATTTCACTTTGCGAAGATTGGTAAGCGTTTCGCTTA